TGTGATGCTCATAAAAATGTATGATGTATTTATAATTGGATATGCTACCGGATTGAGTATATTCCTGATAAAAGAATATTTTTATTTTGACTAGGCACCTATGAGAATCAGATCCTGAGTTTTTACTTTTACATGTCTAAAAAGACAAAAGAATTCCCTGTGGTCCAGCTTCTGCTTTTACACATTTCAAAACTTGTTCCTGCACTACCAACATAATTTTGGTGCCAGACACACAGTGCCATAAGAACAGGTCCCTTAGCCCACACCTTCATGTCATAATGTGGGGTGAGCTGGCTCCTTGGGTGATAGCTATATTCTTGGAAGCCATTCCACTCCAGGCCACCTAGCAATAACTCTACAGAAATAACAGTGTACCACATAAATGTATTCTACTAACCCCCAATTGAATCAATCTCAGCTTCACTTGGGTGAGATCCAAGGCATGTCCAAGGCTATCCTATAGTGTTCAACCTGAGGAAGCAAGTGACCAAGAGAAAATTGAAGAAGAAATAGCAACTCTCACTGATTATGGTTAAAATAAATATCACTTTTACAAGTTTTACAGAAACATATGACATTGGAACATCTTGCTAGATCTCTTTCTGGAATTCAGGAAAACGCCTATGCAAATACGGATTTCTGAAGATTGCTTTTCCTTAATTGCATTTTTTCTCTCATTCTTTGCTAGTCTGGACACTTCTTGAGAGCATGCTCCTCTAGTTATTATGGAGAAACCTCAGCTGTTTCCTTTTCCTCTAAGAAAATCAGGCTTGTGTGTTTGATGAAGAGATTGTTCAGGTCTCACCAAATAAATAAATAAACAAACAAACGAATGAACGAGTAAGACTTCCAACACATCCCTAATGCTGAATTTATCCTGCAGTTTGTCATTCAGAGGATACCAAAAAAAAAAAAAGGAAGCAAGTCCCAGTGTGGTAAAGGCACTAACTTGGACTATAGTGCCCCCTTCTGGAAATGGAAGCCATTCTTGAAACAAAGTGGCTTGAAAAGAAACAGGTTGGGTGGACCTGGGTTTCAAAGGTTCTGCTCAGTATCTCCCATTATGGTGAGAAATAAAAGGGAGAAATAGCTAGACATAAACTTCAAAGATAGAGAGAGAGGTTCTTCCAGAATAGAACCTAGGAAAATGTCACCCAGTCTTTCTGTGAAAAAATCTTCATGGAAAACTTATTTTGTTTATTATGATTCATTAAATCTTTGGGGATTTTGTTCTTGTTTTTGGTTTTTTTGGTCTCAATTTTATTGATTTCTGCTCTCTGTTTCTTTGCTTATAGTAACATTGAATTTGTTCTTGTTTTTCTAGGACTTTTCAAGTGCACCATTAAGTTATTTATTTGGGCTCACTCTGCTTTTGTGATTAGGCATTAACAGCTATAAATTTCTCTCTTTGGACTGGTTCATTGTGTCCCACACGTTCTGGTGTGTTGTACTGGCATTATCATTTAGTTCTAGAAACTGTCTTATTTCTTCCTTGATTTCTTCTATAACCCATTGTTTAGTTAAGACTGTGTTGTTTAGTTTTCATGCATTTGCATAATTTGTCTTTTGTTATTAATTTTAACTTTATTCCACTATGATCTGATAATATGCGTGGTATAATTTCAATTATTTTACATTTACTTAAGTGTGCTCTATTGGCTAGTATGGCTCTATTTTGGAAAAAGTTTCATGTGCTGCTGAAAAGAATATGTATTCTGTTATTGATAGGTATAACAATCTGTAGGTATCTATTAGGTCCACTTTTGAAGGCTTTGTTCAACTCTGACATTTCTTTGTTGGTTTTTTGTCTAGTTGATCTCTGTATGATAAGAGGGTATTGAGATCTAACACTATAATTGTGTTTATGTTTATCTGATTATGTCTAGTAGTATTTGTTTTATGAAATTAGGTGTACCATTGTTTGGTGCACATATGTTTATAACTGTTATCTCTTCCTATTGGACCATTCCCTTAGCTAATATGTATGGATGTTCTTTCCTTCTTTTGACCAGTTTTGGCTTGGATTCACTATGTCTAAATATAAGATAGCTACACCTGCTTTTTTTTTCAAATTTCTATTGCATGGAATATTGTTTTCCATCTCTTGATTTTTTTAGTCTATGAGTTTCTTTTTGGGTTAAATGTGTTTCTTATATAAAACGTACTGTTGGGTTTTGGTTCTTGATCCATTCTGCTATTCTTTGTCTTTTGATTGGATAACTGAGGTCATTCATACTGAGTCATTACTGATAGAATTGGCTTATTCCTGTCACTGCCTTATTTTCCTTTTGTTATTTCTTATCTTTCCCTACTAATTTCTCAGCCTGCCTAGTGTATTCATTATATTAGAATTTTTGGCATTGTTAGTTTAAATGTCTCTTTCTAAGAAATCCTTGAGAATTTTTGGAGGGCTGGTCATGAATTTATTTGAGTGCTCTTTATCATGCAAGTATTATATTTCTCCATCAATTTTGAAAGTTTCGTAGGATATGTCAGCCTCAGTTGGAAACTGTTTTCTTTTAGAGCTTGAAACACGTCACTCCAAGCTCTCCTGGCCTTTCAGATTTATATTGAGAAGTCTGCTGTATTTTTAATGGGTTTACCTTTATAAGTGATTTGGTTTTTCCTAGCAGCATTTAAGATTCTGTCCTTGTATTGGGTTTCTGGAATGTTTGATTCTCATGATGTGTCATTCAGAGCTTCTTTTCTCATCATTGCTATGTGAGATTCTGTATGGATCCCTTATATGTATGTTAAATTCAATCCCAATATTTGGAAAGTTTTCTACAATTATTTTTGTAAACAGGTTTTTTATTGCCTTTTGTGCAGTCTTTTGATTTTTCACTAATCCCAATTAATCTAGCTGAGTCTTCTTTGCATCATCTAGCAGCTGTTAGATCCATTTTTCATGTCCTCTTGTTGTTTTTACAGTACCTTTGAGTGATTGGTTATAGGCTTCAGCCCTATCTTTGTTTTTTGTTTGTTTTTTGTTTTTTTTTTTGGTACCAGGGATCGAACTTGGGTTTTTATAGTATCTTCTACAAATCTACAAATCTGTTTTATAGTATGTTCTACAAATCTGTTGATCTTTCTTTTAATAAATCCATTATCTGATTATTTAAATCTTCTTTGAGCTCAGTGAGCACCTCATTGATCTGGTTTTTTTTAATGTATTCTTTTATCCCTTCAAAATGCACCTGTGTAGCTTCTGATTTCCTCCCCCTTGATGCTCCATGGATCAGCTTTGGAGGATTTGGAAGTTTTAGAGGCATTTTGTTGCCTTGTTTTCTCACGTTCCTTTTCAGTATGTTTGATGATGTTTACACGTTGATTATTCTGGGAAGATTTTGTTGCTAGTGTGGAGACCTCTTTAGTTAGTGTCTGTTTTTCAGTGATGCATTCTGTATGTGACTAACTATAGACCTTTGCCACTGTTCCAAGATCCAAACAGGTCTGTTAATTTGAGAGGAGAGAATGCAATATAATTAGCCCAGCACCCAGTTCTCTAGGAATGGACCATGGTATTGGTGATGACACAAAGGCAATCCAGATATTGGCACAAAGAGAAAATCAATTAATAACAACAACTATGCCACCCTGGCAATAACAACAAAATCAGCAACAATAATAGCATCAAAGGGAAACTGCATATTCATATATCAAAGAGCCAATAATACACAATACTTAACCACAGAAAAGAGATCTATAATTATAGTGTAAACGCTAAGACAAACTAGATAATGAATACAGTATATATGTACTAGATGCAACAATATACTAACAATAGGAAAATATTCAACAGTAATAGCAAAGAGTTAACTAAAGAGTAATAAAGTTTAATGGTTATACTAGTAAGGACAGAGGAAGTGGGGACTGAAAGATTAAAAAAGGTTAAATTTGAAAAATTAAGCAATGGAACATGAAGAAAAAGAAAAGTGAGATAAAGGATCATATTAAGGAGTAAAGGAAAAGAAATAGAATTAGATAAAGGTAACAGAAAAGAATAAACAAGAAAAAAGAGGCAGCAAAATAAAACTAAAGAGAGAAAGAAAGAAGGAAAATAAAAAAATTGAAAGAATAAAAAAGACCTGCCTGCCTTGCAAGTGCAAGGTCCCAAGTTCGATCCCCAGTACCAAAAAAAAAAAGAAAAGAAAGAAAGAAAAAAACCCCACCAAAATTCCCAAAACCAATGAAGGGAAAAAAAAATCCTGTGTATTTCTGAACAGTCGTTTCTTTCCAAGATCTGGAGTCTTGGAATCCAGTAAGTCATGGTTTTCTTTACCTAGGTTTATGACCTCTGGTTTTTTGAGGTGTTGCTCCCTCACACCAGATGCCCCTTTGTCTTTATACCCAGGCTGTGGCAACTGTCTAAGATGAGGTGTGTCCTTGTTCACACTGGTAGATGGGGAATGCAATCAGACCACTGATCTCTGTATTGGATGTAGGTAGTGGTGTGTGAGTTCAAGCAGACCTCTGGATTTTAATGCCAGCACTTTCAGATCCAGCCATCTCTGAAAGCCATACATGTTGAACCTGGCTTCTCACCACAGAGGTCAAGGCCCCCTGAATCCTGAAGTGAAGTTTTTCTCTAGTTGTTCTGTGGCTCAGTATTAAACAATTAACCCTTTCTCAAAATGGCTCATGATTAACACGTTCATGATCAGGTTATAATTTTTATGTCTTACTGTCTGTTGGCTCTCAACCACCAGTGGAACATGCATGGCTGTCCCATTGGGCAACATAGGATAGTCCCATTGGCTGCTACATGCCTGCATGTACCACCAGTACAGTCATGCATATACCACTGGTGGTTCAAGCCAACAGGAATGTGTTAAACCCTTTCAAATATGGTGGGCATCACACTGGATTTCTTCCCCAACTTTTATCCTGCCATGAATTTATCACTTCAGGAGTGAAACCTCACACTTTTTGCAGTTTACAATAGCTGTGAGCTGTTCTTGGGGCTGGCACTGCTGACCTGATCTGTTGTTTTTCCCTAGAGCTTGCAACCCTCTGAGATTACCTTTTCTCCTTGGATGTTATCTTCTTCCAAGAAAAGGTCAGTCAGTTGGTCCACATTTTATAATTATTATATCCTTCTCATGCAGTGAACCCTTTTATCACTAGGAGATGTCTTGTTTGGTTTCTGGCAATATTTTACATCTTACAAGTTCATTCTGTATGACATAAATATACCTATTTCAGAGAAACTTTTTTTTTTGGTACCAGGGATCAAACTCGGGACCTTGTACTTGCGAGGCAGGTGCAATGCCACTGAGCTAAATCCCCAGCTAAATATATCTATTTCAACTCTTGGGTTTATTCTTTTTTTCTTTTTTTTTTTTTTTGGTACCGGGGATCGAACTCGTGTCCTTGTGCTTGCAGGGCAGGCAGCAGAACCACTGAGCTAAATCCCTGCCCCGCTTGTGTTTATTCTTTGCATATGGTATATCTTTTCCCAATAATTTACTTGTAGCCCATTTGTATCTTCTAGATCTGAAGTGTGGATTTTTAGTCAGCACATAAATTGATTTTTCTTTTTTTTCCAATCTTACAATTTCTGCTTTTTGAGTAAAATGTTTAATTCATACACATGTAATATAATTATTCATATTTTTGAATTTATACATTGTTTTAATTGTGGGAAACATCTTTCTTATTCTGTTCCACCTTTATTACCTTCTCTTGTGTTAAACAAAATTTTTAATGAACCATTTAAATTCCTCTATTTATTTTTTACTATATTTTAAAAATTGTCTTCTTAGCAGTTTCTTGATATAATTTATCAAAATCTAGTTCCAGCTAAAACTCATGTGATTCTGTTGTAACTCAGAAACTTCACTACAATATAGCTCCATTTACTTCTCTTTAATATGTACATCTATAGGTGTCACATATATTTATGTTTAATATTTTATATTTGTATTTTATTTATATTGACATAATTTATAATATGCATATATGAGGTGATCAAAAAATAAAATGAATGTTTGAATTTTAAAATTTTTATTACCCTAAATGACACATTGCCATTAATCTTCCTCAATATACACTGCTTTGCTTTATCCCATCACTATTGCCACTTTCTGAAGCAGTTCTGGAAGTCTTCTTTGTGAGTGTCTTTATAAGGTGTGATAAAAAATACAGTAAATGCCACTGCCAAGTGCCACCCAATGGAAAGGGAAGTTCATTAAAAAATTACTATATATGCTCATCCACATTAATCATTGTATCTGGCACTATGACTTCTGGCTCTTCCAAAATGTCAAAATGACCATGAAAAGCAAATCTTTTTCATCAATTCAGTATGGGGAGGCAGCCACAACAGTGCAACTAAGGATATTTATGAGAGAAGACTTCCAGAACTGCTTCAGAGAGTGGCCAGAACAATGGAATATGTCTGTTCAAAATATTTTCAAGGGGATTAATGGCAGTATGTCTTTTTCTGTAATAAATGTAAAAAATTACACATCATATTTATCAATCACACTTCTCTGTCTATATGCTATTACAACTACATATGTTATAAACCCAATAATACTGTTATAATTTTTGCTTTGAACAATTTTTTATCTTCTAAATAAAGAGAAGAGAAGAGAAAGAAAAAAAATGCAACACTGGGGACTGAACCCAGGGTTTTGTATATGCTAAGCAATTCCTCTATCTCTGACCTATAGGCCAGCCTGAAAAAGAAAAACTTACACAATTATTTATATTTATCCACAAATTTACCACTTTTGGTGTTCTTTATTTTTTCTTGTGAATTTCAATTTCTGCCTGACTTCATTTCTTTTCAGCTTGAAAGAAATTTTTCCTGTAAAAGCAAGTCTGATACCAATTCTCTCAGGCTCTGCTTATCTGGGAATTATTTAATTTTATTTCACTTTCATTTTTGAAGGCTAGTCTTTTTTGATTTTGGAATTCTTGCTTGACAGTCTTTTACTGTGAGCACTTTGGATGTGCCATCTCATTGCGTACTAATTTCTGTCATTAATAATGAAGAGTCAGCTCGTAATCACATTATTTCCTCTGTATATGAGTTATTATTCTCTTACTGTTTTCATGGTTTACTCTTTGTCTTGACTATGATCTATTTAAGTGTAACTATATTTGTGTTTATGCAAGGTTGGATCTGTAGGATTTTTTTTAAATGAAATTTGGGCAATTTTTACTATTATTTCTTCAAATATTTTTGTCTCTTTATTTATCTAGCCCTTTTGTGGAACTCTTATAATCCATACCTTCATGTGCTGAAGAGAGAGAGAGAGAGAGAGAGAGAGAGAGAGAGAGAGAGAGACTAATTGTACTTCCAACCTACAGGTTTCCTGTACTCTGCCACAATGATTATTCCTGATATGGCAGGCCTGTTCATTTCCTTTCTTATCTTCACTTTCTCAGCCACTTTTTGGTGTTAAACAATGGTCAGAAAGTCTCTTAAGCTACTGAACACAGCTCTATCTTACTATTTCAAAAAGTGTTGTAGGTTTTACTCTGTGTATCAGCTACTTATAGGGCTCGGTGCCCTGCTTGGCTCATGGGATACCACAGCAAAGGCCAGCCTGGTTCAGCGACCCCCACTGTAATTTCCTTAGCATTCACCTTCCTTACCTTCCTTACACAATGTAATTTGAAGTAATAAGTGTTTCCTAGGTTAATTTAAAATGCATTTTATTATACAGACAGAGGAATTCTCCTAAACAGAAATTTCTTATTATTTTTAAACCTTAATAATCAACACATATATATGGCTAACCCTGCAAAGTACTCATTTATTGCACTAGATGCTGAGGGAAGCAAATATTAAAAAGACACAATAGTTGCTCTTCAGGAGTCTATAGTAAGTATCTCTTTTTCAAGCGCCGTTTAAACTTTCCTCAATCTCATTTCTGTCTGTAAACTGAGTACTTAGAGGTATCACATTTAACATTACACTAAGAGTATATTGGACCAATTATTAAATGAATTGTAATTATAATAATTATTAAGTAACTCCCTAAAAATAATCTCTTAAAGTCACAGTTATGTATTTAAATGACAAATTAAAATATGGCTTTAGGACACAAATAATAATTCCTAATACTTATGTGGCACAATATGTCACTTCAGTATTAGATCTAATACCAACATTAAGCAAATGTGCTTTCCAGAAGTTACCAGAATTACCAAGTAATTCAAAAGAAGAATATGATTTTGGGGGTAGGGGTTTGAGACAGGGTCTCACTATGTAGCCCAGGCTGGCCTTGAACTCACAGTGATCCTCCTGCCTCAGCCTCCTGAGTGCTAGGATTACAGGCATGTACCACGATGCCTGGCTATGGTCCCCCTCCCCGTTAAGTTTATTGGTACATTTTAGGTATAAAATACAGTTACATTCATCACTGGGATCTTGTACCATTACATGAGTATCTTGGTT